CCTGCTCAGCAGGGAGTCTGCTTCTCTCTCTGACCCTCTTCCCTCTTGTGCTCTCTATCTCTCATTCTCTCTCTCTCAAATAAATAAATAAAATCTTAAAAAAAAAAAAAAGAAAGAGAGAGAGAATGAACGTGCACAAGCGGGGGGCAAAGGACAGAGAAAGAAAGAATCTTAAGCAGGCTCCATGCCTAGCGCAGAACCCAACACGGGGCTCAATCTCACAGCCCTGAGATCATGACCTCAGCTGAAATCAAGAGTTGGATGCTTAACTGACTGAGCCCCCTCAGGTGCCCCATTGCTTATAACATTTTTGTTGTGTTGGGTGCATAATATTTTTATGGTTCTGGGACAATAATCTTCCCCCTAAGTTGTTTAGTCTTAAAACTACATTATAATGGTTTGAATGTTCATCAATTCCTTTTTGTTGTTACTTTTTTTTAAACCATGGCTTTTCAACTCCTGAATCTGTTATTTTTTTTGTTCTTATATAAATTCTAGTTAGTTAACATACAGTGTAATATTAGTTTCAAGAGTAGAATTTAGTGATTGATCACTTACATATAACACCCAGCGCTCATCATAACAAGTGCCTTCCTTAATACCCATCACCCATTGATTTGAGTCATTTGGGTCAATTTCATCATAAGGTAATTTTTATCAAGAAATGCTCATGGTCACTACATTCCTCTAGTTCCTTCAGATCAAGACTGTCTGCTTACTGCTTTCATTATTGAATAGTAACATTTGTGAAAACAATTTCATATTATTTCAATATTATGCTTTAAATTATAAATAAAATTTTACATTATTTAAGTAATTCTATTCCTCTCACAAGTTTGTAGATCATGCTCCTATTTTTTGGAAGGGAATGTTGGTATGGAGAATTCTGACACCAATTTCGCCATCCCCCATTTTGTATAACTTGCTTTTTCAGCCTGGGGCTTACAGTCCTGAAGCTTTAGATCAGGGTATATCTTGGTCATTCTCTATTTGCTTTTTAAGATATGTCACATGACCTTCTGACCAAAGATTTAGCTCTTTCTCCCTTCCAGAAAAATTTTCCTGTGTCATATCTCTGCATTCTTTTTCTGCCCCAGATGCTAGATGGCTTTCCCCATCCACCATAGCTGTCATTTCTGTCTTATTACTTTAACTCCTTTCCTGTGATCATCTCATGCTTTTCCCCTACGCCATTCATTTGATGTTTGGTGATGTTTATGCTGTTTTATTTTGTTTTGTTCTTTTCTGGTTCAAACCTTGTACTGTGTTTTTTCCTCAATTTCTTTTCTTGGCTCCTCAATCTATCTTTTTTTTAAAGATTTATTCATTTATTTTTAGAGAGAGAGAGAGAACATCAGCAGGAGGGGCAGAGGGAGAGGGAGAGACTCCTAAGCAGACTCCTCACTGAGCGCAGAGCCCAACACAGGGCTCGATCTCATAACCCTGAGATCTCGACCTGAGCTAAAACCAAGAGTCGGACACTTAACTAACTGGGCCATCCAGGTACCCCTCTTCAGTGTGTCTTTTAAAAATCCCATTCCACTTCATATCCATTAGGATGGCTATTGTCAAAAAACCCCCCAAAATAACAAGTGTTGGTGAGGATGTAAAATGGCACAGCTGCTATGGAAAAGAGTATGGTGGCTCCTTAAACAATGAAGCATGGAATTATCATACAATCTAGCAGTTCTAATTCTGGGTCATATACCCAAAAGGCCTGAAAGCAGGTGACTCAAAGAGATATTTATACACCCATCTTCATAGCAGCATTGTTCCCAATAGCAAAAAGTAGAAGTGACCCAAGTGTCTATCAAGGAATGGAAGGAGAAACAAAATGTGGTATATTATAGATTAGAATATTATTCAGTCTTAAAACGGAAAACATTCTGACTCAAACTACAACATGGGTGAGACTTGAGAACATTATGCTAAGTGAAATAAGCCAGTCACCAAAGGACAAGTCCTCTATGATCCCACTCCTATGAGGTACCTGCAGTAGTCAAATTCATTAAGATGGGGTTACCAGGGGAGAGGGTGGGGGGAATGGGGAATTGTTTAATGGGTGTCAGTTTTGCAAAACGAAAAGAGTTCTGGAGGTTGGCTGCACAATGTGAATGCATTTAACACTACTGAACTGTACACCTAAAAATGGAAAAGACAGCAAGTTTCATGTTACAGATATTTTATCACAATTAAAAATAAAAATTTTTTTAAAAATCTCATTCTTCTTTTATCATAACGATACTGAGTTTTTATTTCCACTGAACTGATCCTGAGCTCTCCGATAGCACGAAATACTTGTGAGGTTGAGTTTTCTTGCTTTGGGTTTCCACTCAGGCCCAACTGGTTGTATGTTTACTTTTTGCAATCCATGTTCCTGTCTTTATTCTGCTCTAGCATTTTCACATAGTTGCCATGACACTTATCTTCATCTTGCTCACATTTAACATGAGCACTCTATCCAGAGCTCTTTTATAGTAAGCCAAGGTATCCTTGACACTCTCTCCCTCAGCTACAATTTGTGGTTGGCTGATGCTTTCTACGTGGTGTTCTGCCATGGAGGAGAGGTAGGAGAACTAGGCCTGCCCTGGCTGGGGGTCCAGTGTGCTGTTCTCTCTTTTGGAAGCCAATGAAATGTCTTATACCAGAGCCTGCTCTGCCTAGCCAGGGCGCGCGCACTCCTATGGTCTCTTTCCTGTAGCTCAATGCAGAGATGGCCTGCCCTGGGTTGCCCTCCTGCCTCTGCTGATGATGTCTCCTGACATTTACCAAGGCCGTCTACTCACCTCCCCCACCAGCTTCTTTCATACCGATCTGAATTAGTAGGGGTCCTTAGGATTTTGTACCCTTCCCTTCTTTTCCCAGGACTGCTTCTGAAGGGTCGGGTGGGGTGTTGCCTTCCTTTGCCATAAAGTTGTGATTGGTTATTTTTGTTTGTTTGGTTGATGCTGGCGAATGTTTCTGTTCTTAACTGCTTTTTGGTTCAGTTCATTGGGTGCTGGGGAGGGAGCCTCTGTGGTTCCGCTACTCCATCAT